AGACACTCCTTAAATTGGGCACAAAACACAGATTCTGCCTTAAACCGGGCACAGAAACACAAATACTGTCCTTAAATGGGGCACAGAGCACACACATCCCTTAAAGTGGGCATAAAACACAAATACTGTCCTTAAACCGAGTACAGAGCACAGACACTGTCCTTAAATTGGGTAGAGCAGAGACACCCCTTGAAGTGGGCATAAAACACAAATACTGTCCTTAAACTAGGCACAGAAACATAGATACTGCCCTTAAACCAGGCATAAAACCACAAAAAACTGGGCACAGAGCACAGACACCCCTTAAATGGGGCACWAACCCCAGAGCAAACCCTTCCTTCACTGGGAGTGTCCAAGGCCAGGCTGGACACAGCAAAGGTGTCCCTGCCATGGAACGGGATCACGGACAGGGGAAGGTGTCCCTTCCATGGAATGGGATCAGGGACAGGGGAAGGTGTCCCTGCCATGGAACGGGATCACGGACAGGGGAAGGTATCCCTGCCATGGCATTGGGATGAGTTTTGAGGTCCTTTCCACTCCAAACCACTCCAGGACTCCGTGCCCTCTTTCCCCCACCCACTTTCATTCCCAGCTTTGCTCTCTGCTCCCTGGGCAGAAGCTCAGCCCAGCTCCAGCTCTGCAAATTCCCTCCTGCAGCCTGCCCAGAGAAGCAGAATCAAGAAAAACCATCCCAATCCCGAGCCTTCCTCAGCCAGGCAGCTCTGGGAATCATCAGCTCCGAGGATTCACGAGGAGTTGTTAAAGCTCCACCTGCTGACAGCACAGCCCCACATTCCAAACCCCAAAATCAGTGTGAAACTGTGGGATCCAGGCAGTGGGAAAATAAAAGAAACCTCTGCAATAAGAATATTGACCTAAACTTACAGAGGAAGCAGGAAAATGCACCTGGAACGTTTTGGGCTGCTGGAAAATGTGTTTGGAGGGAAAAGGCACCAAACCCTGATGGCTCTGGAGATGCTCAGGGACATCACTCAACATCTCAGCGGGGCTGGGCCCCTCTCTGCCCTGTTCAGGCAAAAACAAGGAGGATTTCCAGCACGGGAAGGGGCTGGCTGAAGGAATTCCAAGGAAGGAGAACCCCAGAGTGATGGGAATGCGGGGAGTGTCCACAGCCAGGCTGGACATTGGGGCTGGGAGCAGCCTGGGACAGTGGGAGGGGTCCCTGCCATGGAATGGGATCAGGGACAGAGGAAAGGGAATGGGATCAGGGACATGGGAAGGTGTCTAGCACATGGAGCAGCTCTCTTGAGGGAATTCCAAGGAAGCAGAACCCAGAGTGATGGGAATGCTGGAAGCTCAGATCTCCCCAGGGCAATTCCTTCTGCAAGATCAACATCTGACCCCTCTGATCAGATCTCATGGGGGTAAACCTTTCCTTTCTCAATATCACTTTTAGCTGGGATATCCTGGAACCCCTGCAGAGGATGGGACACTTCTCAGCCCCAGTTTTGTCCACTTTTAGGGACAAAATCCCTTACTCAGCACCGATTTCCTCCTGAATGGCCAAAGCTGCACTGCCCAAAGGCAGCTCTGCAGGCTGATGGATTGGAGGGAATCTGTAAGGAGCAGATGCTAAGGAAAAGGGCACGAGTGGGACCCCAAATGCCTGGATTTGCACAAACCTGCCCTGAGAGGGAACATTTGGTTGGAAATGGTTCCTTATTTTCACTGCAGCCCTGGGGCTGACAAAAGGCTCTTGTTTGTATTCACTGCAGATGGCAGAGGTAGCAAAGTGAAATTTGAAAATAACAGATCTTGGGTGGGACCCAGGGGTGTTCCCGAGGGGCAGGAGCGGTGTCCCTGCTGCTCCCCCCAAAATCAGGGAGACAAGAGAGGATTTGGGTTCCACAACAGGGAAATGGAGCTGGGAAGGGGCTGGAGCCCCAGGAGGGGCTGGGGGAGCTGGGAAAGGGGCTCAGCCTGGAGCAAAGGGGGATCAGGGGGGACCTTGTGGCTCTGCACAACTCCCTGACAGGAGGGGGCAGCCGGGGGGGTCGGGCTGTGCTCCAGGGAACAGGGACAGGAGGAGAGGGAACGGCCTCAGGCTGGGCCAGGGCAGGGGCAGGGGGGACAACTGCAGGAATTTCCCCATGGAAAGGGGGGTCAGGCATAGGAACTGCCCAAGGAGGTTTGGAGTCCCCATCCCTGGAGGTGTCCCAGAAATTCCTGTCCGTAACACTTGGGGCTCAGGGCTGGGGACAAGGTGGGCATTGGAGACAGGGTGGATTTGATGCTCTGGGAGGGTTTTTCCAGCCTCAGGGATCTGGGACAGCTGAGGACACTGAGGTGACACCAGCTCCACATGGACACTGCCCAGCCACTGGGTGTGGAATAAAAACCCAAACCCAACCAAAAACCCGCACTGCAACGCTCCCGAAATGGGGACCTATTCCTGCTCTGCCTCCCTTTGGGAGAGTTTATTCCCACTAATGAGGTGCCAAATTTTAAATCTTGATTTTCAAAGGCTGAAAGAAACAAATAAAAACTCCTCCAGCTTGTAAACGGGCCTTCATTTAAAGAGAAAACTCTAACAAAATGCAAATTCCAGGCTTCCCTCCCCTGCCCTTACCATCCCACCTCTCACGGCTCTCCAAACACAACTGACTTATGGAGCCCTAATGTTTTACAAAATCCACAACTTTCCAGGTTTAAAAGCAATTCTGGCATCCCAGGTCTTACAGCAGAGCAAAACAAAGACTCTGAAATCTCTGTTATTTTCTCCTTTTGGAACGCTACAGCAGYTATTGAGTTTAATCATTAAATTTCCATTCTTAACCTCCCAAAGATGCTGCAGAACAGAGCAGCCAGTTGAGCTCCAGCACAGATATTTACACTGCTTTTATGGCTGCCATTAACTCAGCACAGACTTGGCAATGCTTTCCCTCACTCCACAGTGCCAGGGGCTCTTCTGCTCCAAAAATCTGATATTTTCGGGATTCCACATCCCCGCAATCGGCTCCAACAAAGGATGCCATTGTTTTTGAGGGATTTCAGACTCGTAAAGGGAGTGCAATAAAGTTGAGAATCCTCACCCCAAGGAGCAGGAACGGGAGCAGAGCAGGAGGTGATTGCTGGAGCCAGGCCCAGCATCAGGAAGGAGCCAGGGGAGGGCTGGGATCGGGAGTTTGGGGGACAAAGGCCAGAGCAGCCCAGGCAGGCGCAGATCAGGGGTGGTAGAGTTGGACTCTGCCCTCAGGGTTTGAGCCAGGCTCAGGGACACCGCAAGGTTTGAACTCGGAATTTCCTCAGGCTGCTCTGGCTGGGGCAGCAAAGCCCAATGAAACCTGAAGTGGGGCTCAGCAGGCCCCAAAGCGGGGCTCAGCAAAGCCTGAAGTGGGGCTCAGCAAAGCCCAAAGTGGGGCCCAGCACCCAGGCTGAGCAGGAGTTGGATCCCAGTCACTTCTGGGGTTCCAGGGTGGGGATTTGTTGGGTTTTGCTTTGGTTTTTTTTCCCTTTTTGCTACTTTAAGGCTCTTTTTCAATGCCAGCTCCTCCAGGCACCAGTGACCACCAGAAAGGGCAGTGCCAGAGTGGGAAGTGGCAGTGGGAATGGCTGCACTGGGAATGGTGGGAATGGCTGCACTGGGAATGGCTGCACAGGGAATGGTGGGAAAGGCTGGACTGGGAATGTCCGCATTTGGAATTCCTGCTGTGGGAATGGCTGCTCTGGGAATTCCTGCAGTGGGAATGGCTGCTCTGGGAATTCCTGCAGTGGGAATTGTTGCCCATCCCTGCTGTCCAGGTGCCATGGGCAGCCCATCTCCTGCTCCCATTCCCCATGAACACACGCATGGCACCAAGGTGATGGAAACACCTCCAGCCTCCCTCCATCCTCTCCCAGGACAATCCCTTTCCCAGGTCCATCTCTTTTTCCAGAACCATCCCCTTTCCCAGGACAATCCCTTTCCCAGGACCATCCCCTTTCCCAGGACCATCCCTTTCCCCTGAGCTCCTCCCTCCCCACTCTGATCCCTCTGGAACCCCAAGACAGATCCAGGAGCAGCTCCTCACCTGCTGCTGGGAATTGTAGTCGAAGAGCCCGACGGTGGCGGCGGCCGAGTCCACGGGGACCTGAGTGCCGGAATAATCGAACTGCAGTGGCTCCATGCCCACGTGCTCCATGGCATCCAGGGGCACACTCTGGGATTCCATGTTGGAGAAATCCTCCACAGGCTTGGCCCCGTTGGTGCTGGCCAGCTGGGCCAGGCCCTCAGAGCCATTCTGGCTGGGGCCCAGCAGATCSACCTCACTGGCCGAGTTCTGGCAGTTCCCGGGCGTGCGGCTGCGGGAGGGAAAAAGCAATCAGGAAAAATAGCCATGAATGGTCCAGGCCACAGTCACACCCCCAGAACTGCTTGGAGGAGGGGGAAAAAGGCAGGGGGGAAATAAAAAGATGKCCTGGAATAGTTTCCTGAGTTAACTGTAGGGAGAAATTGGTGTATTTAAAAAAAAATAAATGAAAAATAAACCAGGAATGCTCCAGCCCAGCATTGCACAATCCCMGAACCACCAGAACTGCTTGGAGGTGGGGGAAAATAGAGGGGGAAAATGAAAAGATGGTCTGAAATAGTTCCCTGAGTTAATTGCAAGGAGAATTATTAATTCATATTTCTATTCATAAATGAAAAATAAAAGCATGAATTCTCCAGGCCAGCATCAAACCCCCAGAACTGCTTGGAGGTGGGGGAAAAAAGGGAGGGAAATAAATAAGAAGATGGTCTGGAAAAATAAAAATCTATTCTCAAAAAAATTAGGGAATAACACCCAAATTCTATGGAGAAATTGGCGTATTTAAAAAATACACAGAAGTTAAAACCAGGAATGGTCCAGCCCAGCATCAGACCCCCAGAATTGCTCAGAGGTAGGGGAAAAAAGGGAGAGAAATAAAAAGATGGTCTGAAATAGYTCCCTSAGTTAATCATAGGGAGAAATGAATGTAGTGAAAAAAATAAATGAAAAACAAAGCAGGAATGCTCCATCCCAGCATCACACACTCCCAGACCCCAGAACTGCTTGAAGCTGGTGCAGTAGAGGGGAGATAAGTAAAAAGATGGTCTGGAGTGACCTGGAATCCCTGGACGCCCTTGGGAAGTTGGGAATGAATTCCCACCTTTGCTTTGCCTCCACGCAGTTTTTCTWTCCCTATTGAAACAATTTTACCTCAACCCATGAGTTTCTCTATTTTCCCCTTCAGATTCTCTTTGGTCAGAGYGAGAGCCTGGAGGGGCTGAGCTGGCTGGGCTCAGACCCCAGCACAATTAATGATTCATTAATGATTAATTAACGATGAACCAGCAGGGCACATACCTGAAGTCTTTGACGTCGGCGTCGATGCCATTCTGGACGGGCAATCCGTTGGATTTATCCATCACATCCCCCTCCTCTTTCAGATCTCCCAGTTTATCTCCATCAAACGTGCCCTTGCTTTTCTTATCCCCTTTGTCGTTCTCGTCGCTCTCTGCATCCCTCGGCCCCTGGGCAAACGAGAGCTTGTTTGATTGAATAATCTGAGGTTTCACATCSATTTTCCTGTCACCCCGAGATGGTGACAAATCAGACACCATAAACCACCATAAAACAAGTAACTTGTAAACATTAATTCTTACCAAAAAATACATTAAAATACAAAATATTCAATAATAATCGAATAAATAAAGGGGTTTAATCTGTTCCAAATGGGTTTCTGCCATTTGGTTATTCAAGGTTTGCTTCTGTAGGCTCTAAAAATCCCACCCCAAAGTAATTTTTAAGAGTTCTCTTTCTAGATGGGRCTTGAGCACTTCAAAATCACCCCCAGCAAACGCTGCAGGGGCAAAAACAGAATTTGTGCCTCTCTGGAGTGCCAGGCTCAGGGTCAGACACAGATCCTGATGGGACCAATGCCTGTGTCTGAAAATCATCTCAGTCTGGGGACACCAGCACAAATTCCAAGGCACAGCTCATCTAAAAACACTCAAATCAATCACTGCCTCAAACATTGGCTCTGGTAATCCCAAATCACAATTTCTTTGGGAGAAAAGGGAAAAAGAAATAGGAAAAAAGGATTTCTGTTGTGTTGAGCATTTCATGAGTGGTGTTACATCTGATTTCTRTCCTTAATGTCTGCGTTTGATTTCACTTGGGAGAAGAATAAAGGGTGATGATGCCCGGGGCAGTGCTTGAACAACAAAAGGGAGAGGAAAAACAAGATAATTTATGATAAAAACCAGCAAGGGGCATATAAACAGATTTATCAGAGCCAGCTCTGGTGCTGTCACAAGCCCAGACATCCAAACCCTGCCTCAAACTCAACTGTTTGGGAAAAGTGCTCTGTACACAACATTTGAGCCTCAATCCACTGAACCCTTTCCCCTCTAACTTTTCTTATTTTTAACTTTTCTAAATTTCCTTAGCAATTCTCTCTAACTGGAGGGAGGATCTTTCCTTCATATTTAGAGAAAAAAAAATTTGTTCTGAAAGCAAAAATTGGTGGGAGAGATTTTTCCCTCATATTTAGAGGAAAAAAAAATTGTTCTGAAAGCAAAAATTTGCAGATGCTGCTTCTTGAAGAAAATAAAATTTTTATTGGAATTTAAAATGTAACTTTTCATTATATACTTTATTATATTTTAAATTTTTTATGATAATATAAAATATTCCTTGGAAATGCCAGCTGTAAGTCCAGGTTTGGAGCGATATTCCCCCAAATAATGGGGGTTCAACAGTGACAGTGGGGTCACTGCTGTCACCCTGATTGTGCTGAGGATCAAACCTCTCCCCAAAGCCCAATYTGGATAAATTGGCTCCTTCCCCTGAGTGCCCTTACCCCAAAAATCCTCCCTGTTCAGCTCAGGGCTCTCCCAGGCAGCCCCTAAAGAGGGTGAGCAGCCCCAGCAGGGATGGGGGCAGCAGCAGAGCAGCTYCCTGGGGTGCTGGGCACGGCATCCCAAGGAGGATTTCCCATAATCTCTGCACCCTTTTCCCAGTGTGGGGCTGGTTTGATGCCACCTCTCCCTGAATCCTGAAATTCCAGGCAGCACCACCTCTGCTCCTTCCCCACCCCATAAAACACAGGGAYRCTRMCTTTTCCCATGGGAAACCAGACAGCAATCCCAGCTGGAGTGTCTCTGGGGCCGTGTCCCATCTCTGGGATCTTCCCATTGTGTGARGCAGCAAAAGGCAGCCACGGGCTCAGGGAAGGTTTTTGTGCAACTTCTTCCAAAGATCTGCTTGGATGGGGTGATCCTGGTAAAGG